AGGCACAGACCTAATGTACGCAGACATGGGGAGAACGTGCAAACTCCACTCAGAACGGCCCTGTTCCGACCACTCAGCCACCGTGCTGCCAGAAATTAAGATAGAATTAGGACAAAAAACACTTGATTCAAGCAATTATTACCTCATATTCTTTGTTTTTTGCAGTGTAGAGTCAGCTGTGTCAAACCAGCAGCAGTTTAATATAATTATTATGAGTTTATTATTAACGGCACTTTTGTGTGAGTGGTGAACTGTGGAAACACCTGGACAACTAGAGCTAACGACCACTGACATTCCTGCAGCTCTACGTCACAGAGACAAACACATATCTCCGCACCAGAGCACGGGCCTGGACTGGGGGGTGGGGAGGGGGGACCAGAACGAGCAGGTCCCAGTGGGGTTCTTTCCTCTTAGATGTAAAGCTGATGTTTATCGTGGCTGTGGACTGTAGGTGAGGAACAGAGGAGGAAGTAGCAGCTGCAGCGAGAATAAGAGCAGCAGCAGGAGGAGGATTTTACTGACTCTGCTTCTTGTTCATCTGTTTGTTATAGAAGGAAATATAGTCAGCAAAGAATGATACAACTGATCAAACAGTAATCAAGTTTTGCAGTAATGACCTGAATCAGGGACAAACAGAGGCCAGTGGATTATTTTCCTTTTTTTGTATATAAATTCATCATAGCAGTGAGTAAAAAACCGGATTTGTTCTCACACGTTTAAACAATCAATCATAAAAGGAGAGGTTACCACCCACACCTCCTGCTGTGAGGGGCGCTTGTTTTGTGCACCTTGATGAAGTACGTGTGTGTAGCCGCGACATCAAGCTACAGTATACAATCCCTGGATTTCTCCTTCGAGGATCATTAAAGTATCTATCCATCTGCCACATACTGCAAACCAACATGGATCCACATGGCTGAGTGGTTAGCATTCTCACTTCTCAGCAAGACGGTCCTGGGTTTGAGTCCTGGTCGGAATAGACATGGGCAAACTTTTCCTCCTGAGGGCCACATTGGAAATTAGGTCCAGATCCCGACAGCTAACTGATATTCCAATGTTTTTGGCCTCATTTTAAAACATAAATGTATGGTTTTTAAACTGCACACAGCACAGGGGGGATTGTATGATGTTTAAACTGAAATTACCCCACTGTGGGATGAATAAAGGTTCTCAATCCTAACCTCTCTTGATCTTAATCTTAATCTATATAAATTGAGGAGGGCTCAAGGACCTGATAGAAGCATCCAAAGGGCCGCATCTGGCCCACGGGCCGGGGTTTGCCCACCCCTGGTCTGGAGTGAGAATAAAAACAAATAAAAAGTTACTTGTGTGTCTTTTTACTGAGTCACTGTGTCCCGGATGTAAACATACATCTTTATATTACTGCACGAGAATAGATAATACTACATCCATCCATCCATTTTCTTCCCCTTAATCCATTTCTGGGTCGAGGGGGTGTCAGTCAGAGCTGGACACAACGACAGCAGACATCAGTGGGAGTCATGAATAGGTCTTGTGGTGGGCTCGAACCCACAACCTGCAGGCTCTATTAACTGTCGCCCCTAGTCCTATGCACTTGCTCCTTTATTATGCTAATGTCAGTAATGGTATTTTAATTGTATTCATCTCGTGCTCCTTATTCCTGTACGGTTCTGTAACTGGTGATGCAACACTGACATTTCCTCGCTGTGGGACCAGTAAAGATTATCTTAATCTTAAATCTTAAGATTAATAACTCAAAGAAACAATATTTTTAAACCACCAAAAAAGCTTTAAAGATTGGATCCAATTTTATACTGTTTTCTTTATTTTCTTTTAGATAAACACATAAATTCTGACATCAGTAAACATGGTTCTTTTTGTCCCTAGAGTGTCTCAAAGTGAACTGTTAATCCATGTTTTGACTTCACGCTGGAAGAACTTGTGGCTTTTACCGTGAACCATTTGATAAAGTCTCAGTTCATGACCTCCAACGCTCTGAAGTTAGCGAGTATGTTATGTTCCAGGCAGACATTTCCTCTCCTTGTAAATTGCTGCATTCTCTCCCTACGTATAAGTATGTTTTCTGATTTTTTTAACCATAAGTTACCAGCGCGTTCTTTGATGAGAATAACCTCCACGTCGTTAACCACAACAGTTTAGGGCCAGACCCGAGCCAGCCTGCCCACCCCCGCTCCTCTGTCACTGGCTCTGGGTATAAACATCCTCAAGCTTCCCCAGAAAAAAAAACTATCTCCGCTTCCCACTTTCTGCTGACGTTTTCTCCCTGTGTCTCGGTTCTACTTTTGGGAGGGAAAGTGTGCGCCGGTGCCAACGACAACAGCCCATGGGTAGTGACTGCGTGTCTGTCTCGTTCATGCTCTTGGCTCCGGACGCTCTGGAAGTCGCAGCACGGAGGAAAGGAACGCTCCGATGGAAACAGTGGTGCGCAATGTCTCGTTCGCAAATGGGTTTCGGTCTCGTCCACATCACAGCTTTGAACTATGGCTATATCTTTGTATTTGTAATCAGTTTTATTCAGCGCTTAATCTGGACGCTCTTAGACACAGTCAGTCGCCGGCACTGTTCCTCTCTTGTGATTCTCCCCACTTCACTCCTCTTCAAGATTCAAGATTTAAGTATTTATTTGCCATCTGCAGCAAAACCACATGGAATAACTGTGCAAGACTACCCCAGTACTAGCCTGGCCTTATCCATCCGTACACTCTGCTCAATCATCATTTCACTGCATGTAACGTCTGGGTCTGGTCCCTGTGTTAGCGAATACAATCGGTTGAATTTTGACCGACCATTCAGAGAACGCAGAAGGCAGGGGTTGTAGTTAGTTGTGGGTGATGTCAAGAGTTTGCGTCGAACGGGAAGGTCATAGTTTGGCAATGGCGAAAAATAAAGTAAATAGAGTAAAGTATTCCGGTCTGGTTCTATCAAGAAATTGAAGCCGGAGCAAGAGGAATGTTTAGAAAATGTAATCGCTAGAAATTTTTTTGGTGCTACTCCCCACGGGCTTTGTTAGCGGCAAAGGAGATGGCTAGGCTAAATGCTAAATGCTAACAACTCACTCGGGCGCAATACATACGTCACGGTAAACTCAGATCCAATCGTTTCAATCTGCAAAAGGAGTTAACCCCTCCCACCTGTTCACGGAGCTCAATGGAGCATGTCCAGACCTTATTATGAAATGTCATTTGTACTATGGTGTGGTACGACCAGGCTACCCCAGTGTGCACCAGACAGAGAAGACGGCACACACCAGAGCTCTTGCCACGGTGCCATTTTTCCAGCGCCATGCGACAAATACAGAAGTGGTGGGAAAAAATGTATTCTGTTCAGTATCGCGATATTTTGTGCACACAAAAAAATCAATGCAGTATAATAAAGTTTTGCAATTTTTGATTATATATTGATCACTTGTGTGTGTATTGGTATTGTCCATCGGAGGTGTATGTTTCTCTGTGATGTCCGCTTGTTCTGACGTTACTTTCTGTATCGCGATATGTTAAGAATCCCGATAATATTGAATTATGTCCAAAATATTGCAATACTATTTAATACCATTTGTTCGACTTCCCAGCCCATTTTTACAGTATGACGTCATCCTGCGTCGGACTAACTACTGCACTGTGAAATGATGTCACATGTTTTCTTGGCTAATACAGAATCGCTAGCAGCCTTTTACACGATGCCCATGTCATTGTTGGCTGTGTCTCCTGCGTCTCTGCCAACGGTTTGTGCGACCGCTTCTGTTGTGGTCGCTGAAGTCGCTGCGAAGCCTCCGCCTTTCGTCAGAGGAATGAGCTCATGCCAGAAGTTTGGAGGAAGCTGATTGTGGCCTCAGAATGCCCCTCAAGACAAGAGTTGGCTATAAACCCTGAGTGTGTTAGCATACAGGCCTAGCTAACGATTATACCATTCATTTTGCATCAATATCGGTGGATGTTTGACTTGCTTACTACCATCGGCTATCAACAAATAAAAATGACATTGGCCGATGGTGGCGCGTGTGAAGAGATACCAGTAGAGGGCGTCTGTGCACTTTCCTCAGAAGAACAAACAAAGAAGATGGCAGTGGTTATGTGGCCATTTTTTACAGTATCAGAAAAAGATCAGCGTTTTGCAGTTTACGTGTCCAGGGAGATATAAAGAGGGGGGACGGCAAGAAAATCATTTAACACAGCGAATCTCATTGGACAACACCACCAGCAAGAAGCAGATTACAAACATGTCAACGCTGGTGCTCATGGACCCTTTTGAGCCGGGACCCGCCCCCACTGGTTTCACCGGTGTCTTGTTAGTCTTGTATTTAAACCCTGTGTTCCCTTCACTCCCTGTTCTGTCATTTCTGTCTGTTTTAGTTCTTGACATCAGTCCGTTTGGTTACTTTTGGTGTTTTCTCTGGAATTTGTTTTGTATTACATTATTTTTGCAGTTCTGCGGTTTTGGTTTTTTGTTTGCCTCATGACATCCCCCACAAACCCTGTCCTCAGCCCTCATCCCTCATCCCTCAGCCCTCATCCCTCATCCCTCAGCCCTCAGTCCTCAGCCCTCATCCCTCTTCCCTCAGCCCTCAGTCCTCAGTCCTTAGCCCTCAGCACTCATCCCTCTTCCCTCAGTCCTCAGCCCTCATCCCTCTTCCCTCAGTCCTCATCCCTCATCCCTCAGTCCTCAGCCCTCAGCCCTCATCCCTCATCCCTCTTCCCTCAGCCCTCAGTCCTCAGCCCTCAGTCCTCAGTCCTCAGCCCTCAGTCCTCAGCCCTCAGCCCTCTTCCCTCAGCCCTCAGCCCTCAGTCCTCAGCTCTCATCCCTCAGCCCTCAGTCCTCCGCCCTCATCCCTCATCCCTCAGCCCTCAGTCCCCCGCCTCATCCCTCAGCCCTCATCCCTCAGCCCTCTTCCCTCAGCCCTCAGTCCTCAGCCCTCAGTCCTCAGCCCTCATCCCTCAGCCCTCATCCCTCAGTCCTCATCCCTCAGCCCTCTTCCCTCAGCCGTCTTCCCTCAGCCTCACCTCGGAGCTCGGTGGCCGCGGTGCAGTTGGACGAGGCCTTCCACTTGTCCTGTATCTTCTTGAACTCCTGCACCCTGCACATGTAGAGGCCGCAGTCACCCTCCGCCACGTTCAGGACCAACAGGTCAAACACCTTCCCCTGCTTCACCACCGTCAGCTTCATCTTGGGCCAGGAGAAGCTTTTGGTGTAGTTGCCATAGAAACGGGCCTTCCTCATGTTGACCCTGGCGATGAGGAGTTCGTCTTGGGCCCGGTCGGCGCCGGCAGGAAGGAAGGTCCATCTGACCACCGGGAGCGCTGTGTTTCGCCGGCGCTGAGAGACGATGCAGGACAAGGTTATGTTCTGACCCTCCTGGGCCACCGTGAAGGGGGCGGGGACCACCGTCACGTTGATACACAAACATATATCTGAAAGGAGAGCGTGACAATGGATTACGACTGTCATCATTCAGAACATGATAAGAGAAGAATTAGAACATGAAACAGGATAAAACAGACACGTCAAACTCAGGCCCACGGGCCAAGTTTGGCCCCAGGACCATTTTAGTGGCCCCTTTATTGATTTTTTTAGTATTGGTGGTAGATAGATAGATACTATATTGATCCCCTGTGATGGTAATCACAGGGAAAGTTTCTCAAATTTGGCAAAATGTATCTTAAATTGACCCGATTCTCCTTAAAGATGCAGCCAGTGATTTTTTCCAGATGCATTTTTTTAAATATTGTGGGAAAACGTCCCTAAACCCTAAAAGTATCAAGTTTGTCTACAAGAAGTAATAACAAATATTATGGAGCGGACCGATAAAAATAAACCAATGGGATTCATTCATCTACAATGAACCAATGGGATGTGTTTACCCCCTTCACCCTCTTCCTGTTTCTCACGAGTGCACCGGAGTTGTCGGATTTTCTAAAACCTAGAAAATGCCAATTTCACGTTTGCTCCACTCTATCTGCAGTGACAAAGAAAAGAAAATGCTGGATGTTTGGTTTGGTGGAGAGGGAGGGGAGGGGGGAGGGGTTTCCAGTTGTGGCTACGGCTAAGCTAACAACATCACTGACTGCACCTTTAAATCAAGATTTACCAACAGGGATAACGCAAAATTATCTTGTTTTAAAAATATACAAGAAATGTCTCCTTTGGAATGAGAAAATAATATATCAACCGTTTTTAAATAAAACATAAATGGCTTGACCCATCGGAGAATCTTCTTTTAAGATGAAAAACATTTTCTCATTTTCTGCAGTGCAGTAAAAATAGTCGTTTTTTATAACCAGGACTGCATTGTACTTGTATACTGTGTGTGTGTGTGAGTGTGTGTGTGTGTGTGTGTGTGTGTGTGCATGCGCATGTGTGTGTATGTGTCTATCAGTGAAGGTGGATTATGGAACTACCGGCCAAAAAGTCAAAAAGCAGATGTGAGTTGAGAAGTTGTGTAGCGTATGTGTTGTGTGTTGTCACCTGCCAGATGCCACCGGTGAAAACACCATGGGAGGTGTGGAGGAGGAAGCAGACTGATACATGGTGTCTGCTGGTCTCACTTCACTGGCTCCTGTCATATTCAGGGCCGACTTTAAGATTCTGAAGATTGTGTTTAAATATTTAAAGGGTTTAGCCCCTGTGTATCTGATAGAGCTGGTATCTCTGTGTACTGGTCTCTCTGGTCTAGTCTCTCTCTGGTCCCTCTCTCTAGTCTCTCTCTGGTCTCTCTCTCTGGTCTCTCTCTCTGGTCTCTCTCTCTGGTCTCTCTCTCTGGTCTCTCTCTCTGGTCTCTCTCTCTGGTCTCTCTCTCTGGTTTCTCTCTCTGGTTTCTCTCTAGTCTCTCTCTGGTCTCTCTCTGGTTTCTCTTTCTGGTCTCTCTCTGGTCTCTCTCTAGTCTCTCTCTCTGGTCTCTCTCTGGTCTCTCTCTAGTCTCTCTCTGGTCTCTCTCTGGTCTCTCTCTGGTCTCTCTCTGGTCTCTCTCTGGTCTCTCTCTCTGGTCTCTCTCTGGTTTCTCTTTCTGGTCTCTCTCTGGTCTCTCTCTAGTCTCTCTCTGGTCTCTCTCTGGTCTCTCTCTAGTCTCTCTCTGGTCTCTCTCTGGTCTCTCTCTGGTCTCTCTCTGGTCTCTCTCTGGTCTCTCTCTCTGGTCTCTCTCTGGTCTCTCTCTGGTCTCTCTCTGGTCTCTCTCTCTGGTCTCTCTCTCTGGTCTCTCTCTGGTCTCTCTCTGGTCTCTCTCTCTGGTCTCTCTCTAGTCTCTCTCTAGTCTCTCTCTAGTCTCTCTCTGGTCTCTCTCTGGTCTCTCTCTAGTCTCTCTCTAGTCTCTCTCTAGTCTCTCTCTGGTCTCTCTCTGGTCTCTCTCTCTGGTCTCTCTCTGGTCTCTCTCTAGTCTCTCTCTGGTCTCTCTCTGGTCTCTCTCTGGTCTCTCTCTGGTCTCTCTCTGGTCTCTCTCTGGTCTCTCTCTGGTCTCTCTCTGGTCTCTCTATGGTCTCTCTCTGGTCTCTCTCTGGTCTCTCTCTGGTCTCTCTCTGGTCTCTCTCTGGTCTCTCTCTGGTCTCTCTCTGGTCTCTCTCTGGTCTCTCTCTGGTCTCTCTCTGGTCTCTTTCTGGTCTCTCTCTGGTCTCTCTCTGGTCTCTCTCTGGTCTCTCTCTGGTCTCTCTCTAGTCTCTCTCTGGTCTCTCTCTGGTCTCTCTCTGGTCTCTCTCTGGTCTCTCTCTGGTCTCTCTCTGGTCTCTGGTCTCTCTCTAGTCTCTCTCTAGTCTCTCTCTAGTCTCTCTCTGGTCTTTCTCTAGTCTCTCTCTGGTCTCTCTCTCTGGTCTCTCTCTCTGGTCTCTCTCTGGTCTCTCTCTAGTCTCTCTCTAGTCTCTCTCTGGTCTCTCTCTAGTCTCCCTCTGGTCTCTCTCTGGTCTCTCTCTGGTCTCTCTCTGGTCTCTCTCTGGTCTCTCTCTGGTCTCTCTCTGGTCTCTCTCTAGTCTCTCTCTAGTCTCTCTCTGGTCTCTCTCTGGTCTCTCTCTGGTCTCCCTCTGGTCTCTCTCTGGTCTCTCTCTCTGGTCTCTCTCTGATCTTTCTCTGGTCTCTCTCTGGTCTCTCTCTAGTCTCTCTCTGGTCTCTCTCTGGTCTCTCTCTAGTCTCTCTCTAGTCTCTCTCTAGTCTCTCTCTAGTCTCTCTCTAGTCTCTCTCTAGTCTCTCTCTAGTCTCTCTCTAGTCTCTCTCTAGTCTCTCTCTAGTCTCTCTCTAGTCTCTCTCTAGTCTCTCTCTAGTCTCTCTCTAGTCTCTCTCTAGTCTCTCTCTAGTCCTCTCTCTAGTCTCTCTCTAGTCTCTCTCTAGTCTCTCTCTAGCCTCTCTCTAGTCTCTCTCTAGTCTCTCTCTAGTCTCTCTCTAGCCTCTCTCTAGTCTCTCTCTAGTCTCTCTCTAGTCCCTCTCTCTAGTCTCTCTCTAGTCTCTCTCTAGTCTCTCTCTAGTCTCTCTAGCCTCTCTCTAGTCTCTCTCTAGTCTCTCTCTAGTCTCTCTCTAGCCTCTCTCTAGCCTCTCTCTAGTCTCTCTCTAGTCTCTCTCTAGTCTCTCTCTAGTCTCTCTCTAGCCTCTCTCTAGTCTCTCTCTTTGGCCTCACTCTAGTCTCTCTCTAGTCTCTCTCTCTCTCTCTTTAGCCTCTCTCTAGTCTCTCTCTAGTCTCTCTCTCTCTCTTTAGCCTCTCTCTAGTCTCTCTCTACAGTCTCTCTCTCTCTCTCTTGGCCTCTCTCTAGTCTCTCTCTAGTCTCTCTCTAGTCTCTCTCTAGCCTCTCTCTAGTCTCTCTCTAGTCTCTCTCTAGTCTCTCTCTAGCCTCTCTCTAGTCTCTCTCTAGTCTCTTTCTAGTCTCTTTCTTGTCTCTCTCTCTCTCTACAGTCTCTCTCTAGTCTCTCTCTAGTCTCTCTCTAGTCTCTCTCTCTCTCTTTGGCCTCTCTCTAGTCTCTCTCTAGCCTCTCTCTAGTCTCTCTCTAGTCTCTCTCTAGTCTCTCTCTAGCCTCTCTCTAGTCTCTCTCTAGTCTCTTTCTAGTCTCTTTCTTGTCTCTCTCTCTCTCTCTAGCCTCTCTCTAGTCTCTCTCTAGTCTCTTTCTAGTCTCTTTCTTGTCTCTCTCTCTCTCTCTAGCCTCTCTCTAGTCTCTCTCTAGTCTCTCTCTCTCTCTTTGGCCTCTCTCTAGTCTCTCTCTAGCCTCTCTCTAGTCTCTCTCTCTTTGGCCTCACTCTAGTCTCTCTCTAGTCTCTCTCTAGTCTCTCTCTCTTTGGCCTCACTCTAGTCTCTCTCTAGTCTCTCTCTCTCTCTCTTTAGCCTCTCACTAGTCTCTCTCTAGTCTCTCTCTAGTCTCTCTCACTCTCTTTAGCCTCTCTCTAGTCTCTCTCTACAGTCTCTCTCTAGTCTATCTCTAGTCTCTCTCTAGTCTCTCTCTCTCTCTCTTTAGCCTCTCTCTAGTCTCTCTCTATCCTCTCTAGTCTCTCTCTAGTCTCTCTCTCTCTCTCTTTAGCATCTCTCTAGTCTCTCTCTAGTCTCTCTCTCTCTCTTTAGCCTCTCTCTAGTCTCTCTCTAGCCTCTCTCTAGCCTCTCTCTAATCTCTCTCTCTCTCTTTAGCCTCTCTCTAGTCTCTCTCTCTCTCTTTAGCCTCTCTCTAGTCTCTCTCTAGTCTCTCTCTCTCTCTTTAGCCTCTCTCTAGTCTCTCTCTAGTCTCTCTCTAGTCTCTCTCTAGTCTCTCTCTAGCCTCTCTCTAGCCTCTCTCTAGTCTCTCTCTGGTCTCTCTCTAGTCTCTCTCTGGTCTCTCTCTAGTCTCTCTCTGGTCTCTCTCTGGTCTCTCTCTGGTCTCTCTCTAGTCTCTCTCTAGTCTCTCTCTAGCCTCTCTCTAGTCTCTCTCTAGTCTCTCTCTAGTCTCTCTCTAGCCTCTCTCTAGCCTCTCTCTAGTCTCTCTCTAGTCTCTCTCTAGTCTCTCTCTGGTCTCTCTCTAGTCTCTGTCTTTTTCCCTACAACATTATTTCTGTTTTGTTGTGCATTGTTTTTAGATCCGGCCACGCTAATATCAGGAACTTCTGGCGCAAATATGTAACTCCGCCCCTTTCGTCTATAAGTGTCAGTTTCACGTCTAGTTCATGCGATCGTCCGAACTCCAAACTCCTGAATTCCCGCTCAGAGAAGTCGTAAATTCAGCTCTGAAATCAGGACTGAAACTCGGGTCTCAAACTGGAGTCGATGGTTCCTAAGTTTGTGTGCAAGTCCCCGGATCCTCGTGAACGGTTTGGTTCTGGGAAGGCAAGGGATACTACAGATATTTCCGAGTTTCTGAGTTTGTAGCGTTGCAGCGTCAGTGTCTATGACATTTAAAGCAAAAGTATTGCCCCTACATTAGTTTTGGTCTAGTCTCTCTCTCCCCACTGACCCCTTCCCCAGTCTCATCCTCAGCCCGGACCTGGGCTCCTCCTCTGGGCCCCTGCTGGCCAGTCCAGTAGCTGCCTCTCTGGAGGCTGCGTCAGGGAAGACCTTTTACAGCCTCATGGTCCAGGCCTTGAACCACCAGAGACTGTGTGACCAAGCAGACACTGTGTGGAGGTCACACCTGGGCCCCGCCTTCAGCCCGGCCTGGGGGGCCCTGTACAAGCCCCCTCTGACCAAGAGACAGGGAGACCTGCAGTGGAGGCTGCTGCATGGGGCAATAGCAGTCAATGCCTTTGTGTGTAGGGTGAACAGGGCTGTGGGGGAGGGCTGTCCCTTCTGTGGGGAGAGGGAGACAGTGGTCCACTGCTTCTGGGAGTGTGGGAGGCTCAGGCACATGCTGGAGCTGCTGAGGGGCCTCTTCACTTCACTGGGGGCAGAGTTTAATGCTCAGGTGTTTGTGGGGGGGGGTCAGGTACTCCAACCGCAGCAGGAGGAGGGGGCGGCTGCTCAGTTTCCTCGTCGGTCAGGCCAAGATGGCCGTCTATGTGAGCAGGAGGAGGATGGTCCAGGACCAGAGTGAGATCAGTCCCAGGGCTCTGCTGGTCCGGATGGTCCAGGCCAGACTCAGGCTGGAGTTTGGTCTCTACAGGATAAATGGGGATCAGGAGGGGTTTGAGGAGCGCTGGGGGTTCAGGGAGGTGTGCTCTGTGAGGGACGGGGAGCTGTTTTTTTCTGCAATTTTATCGTTGTAAACCTATGAATTGAAGTGTGTGAAGTGTTGCATTGTTTATTTATTGCAGTATTTGCACTTTTTGCACTTTTATGTCCGGATTTTTAAACTGTGTTTTTCCTATACATTACAATGTGTAAGATGTGATGTAATTTAACCTGTTTAACGGACAAATAAAGGTCTGTTAAAAATCAAAAATCTCTCTAGTCTCTCTCTAGCCTCTCTTTAGCCTCTCTCTATTCTCTCTCTAGGCTCTCTCTAGCCTCTCTCTATTCTCTCTCTAGTCTCTCTCTAGTCTCTCTCTAGCCTCTCTTTAGCCTCTCTCTAGCCTCTCTCTATTCTCTCTCTAGTCTCTCTCTAGCCTCTCTCTAGTCTCTCTCTAGTCTCTCTCTAGCCTCTCTTTAGCCTCTCTCTAGCCTCTCTCTAGTCTCTCTCTAGTCTCTCTCTAGTCTCTCTTTAGCCTCTCTCTAGTCTCTCTCTAGCCTCTCTCTAGTCTCTCTTTAGCCTCTCTCTAGTCTCTCTCTAGCCTCTCTCTAGTCTCTCTCTAGCCTCTCTCTAGTCTCTCTCTAGCCTCTCTCTAGTCTCTCTCTAGTCTCTCTCTAGCCTCTCTCTAGTCTCTCTCTCTCTCTCTAGTCTCTCTCTCTCTCTCTTTAGCATCTCTTTAGCCTCTCTCTAGTCTCTCTCTAGCCTCTCTCTAGTCTCTCTCTCTCTCTCTAGTCTCTCTCTCTCTCTCTAGGTCTCTCTCTCTCTCCCTCTATCTCTCTAGCCTCTCTCTAGTCTCTCTCTCTCTCTAGTCTCTCTCTCTCTCTCTAGTCTCTCTCTAGTCTCTCTCTCTCTTTAGCATCTCTTTAGCCTCTCTCTAGTCTCTCTCTATTCTCTCTCTAGTCTCTCTCTCTCTCTCTAGCCTCTCTCTAGTCTCTCTCTCTCTATGTCTCCAACAGGAGTCTGAGGTCCTCTACTCAGAACCTGTTGATGGTCCCCCGGACTCGTTTCAAAACCAGAGGAGACAGATCCTTCCAGGCAGTTGCTCCTCGCCTTTGGAATGAGCTTCCTCAGTCTCTGCGTATCGTAGAGACTGTTGATGATTTTAAGTCCCAACTAAAGACACATTTGTTTGGACAGGCTTTCTCGCACCATTGTTCATAGGCCTCTGTGAATGTAAATTGTGTTTTCTGTGTTTGTTTTATCTGACTTGTGTGTGTATTTTGTATTTTAATGTGTGAAGCGCTTTGTGACCCTGGTCTGTGAAAGGCGCTATACAAATAAACTTTACTTACTTACTTACTTACTTACTCTCTATTCTCTCTCTAGTCTCTCTCTAGCCTCTCTCTCTCTCTCTCTTTAGCATCTCTTTAGCCTCTCTCTATTCTCTCTCTAGTCTCTCTCTAGTCTCTCTCTAGTCTTGTATTAGTTTTGGTAATTTCTAAATCGAGCAGAGTACAGTATTTTCTGGGAAGTTGCCCAGGAGTAAAGGTCACACCAGCCGAAAATGCAGAATAAAGAAGATTTTTTGGGGAGATTTATTTGAAAAAACCCAACACAGAGAAAAGACATTTCATCTTGGGGCAATTTCACTGTCATTTATCTTTCAATTATCAGTCAATTATCTGTGAGATGTAGTTTTGATAAAGAGTAAGAGCAAAAATTTAGGTAATAAAAAAAAATAGTCAAAAACATATTTGCACTACAAAACAAAAGCTATAGCCCTACATCACACAATGGTGTTAAGTCCCATGTGTTCATTCTTTGGGATCTTCACATTAGCTTAATCGCTAAACATAAAAGCCTGGGCTATTATTGAATATTTTACGGTAAATAAAACATAACATTTTAAATATATAGTTTCATAATTTCCCACATAAGTCACTCCAGAGTATAGAGCCAAACTATGACAAAAACTCTGATTTATAATCCAATAAATACGGTATACTGTATGTATTTACTCATTTTTGCCTCTCAGCCAAAGTCCTGGGTTCGAATCCCAGTCGGAACATGGTCTTTCTGAATGGAATTTGCATGTTTTTCCTCCAGCTCTGATCCTGACTATCTTATTTCAACTTCATCAAGACTATTGGTCCTCCCAACTGTCAATCATTCTGGTGACACGAGCTCGTCCAATAAGAGAGTTTTGTTCTTTGGTTCTTTCCTAAAGCTCTGGAAAATCCTCCTGTACAACCTTTAAACTAAATACAGACACAGGACAGAGTGTCTGTGATCGCAGCAGGACAGAGTGTCTGTGATCGCAGCAGGACAGAGTGTCTGTGATCGCAGCAGGACAGAGTGTCTGTGATCGCAGCAGGACAGAGTGTCTGTGATCGCAGCAGGACAGAGTGTCTGTGATCGCAGCAGGACAGAGTGTCTGTGATCGCAGCAGGACAGAGTGTCTGTGATCGCAGCAGGACAGAGTGTCTGTGATCGCAGCAGGACAGAGTGTCTGTGATCGCAGCAGGACAGAGTGTCTGTGATCGCAGCAGGACAGAGTGTCTGTGATCGCAGCAGGACAGAGTGTCTGTGATCGCAGCAGGACAGAGTGTCCGTGATCGCAGCAGGACAGAGTGTCTGTGATCGCAGCAGGACAGAGTGTCCGTGATCGCAGCAGGACAGAGTGTCCGTGATCGCAGCAGGTCAGAGTGTCCGTGATCGCAGCAGGACAGAGTGTCTGTGATCGCAGCAGGACAGAGTGTCTGTGATCGCAGCAGGACAGAGTGTAATGAATGGTGTTGTTATTTCCCACACTATGTGGTCTGTGAAGGCACCATATACTAACGCGAGATGTACTGCGGGATCTTGTGGACTGTTCTCATATACGAGCTTGTACAATAAACCACCAGCTCTTGTTCGGTACTTGTGGTGGCGTTTCATTTATGTCAAGACGACATTACATGGTGTCAGAAGCGGTGCAATACTTTAACGAGCCGATATGTCCAAGTTTAATCCTCCGTCGGAGTTTAACTTCACGAGCCCGGGAGAATGCCCGGAGTGGAAACAGAGGTTCGCACGCTACAGGCTGGCCACAAAACTGAACAAAGAAAATGGCGAGGTTCAAGTCTGCTCACTTATCTACGCGATGGGCAGCGAAGCAGAGAAAATCTTCGCCTCGTTCGAGTTTGCTACGGAAGACGATAAGAAGAATTACGAAGGGGTTCTCTCAAAGTTGGATGAGTACTTCATACCCAGACGCAACGTAATACACGAGAGAGCGTGTTTCTACCAACGTAACCAACTGCAAGGGGAAAAGGCAGAGGCGTACATAAGGGTGCTGTACGAGCTAGCGGAGAACTGTGATTTTAGCGATAAGCGGGATGAACACATCCGTGATAGACTCGTAGTGGGCATTAAAGACAAAGAATTGTCTCTGAAATTGCAGCTCACAGCAGATCTGACGCTGGCTCATGTTATACAGCAAGTACGACAGTCAGAAGAGGTTGCTAAACAGATTAGCCTCCAAGCTAGCGGTCCCCAGCCGGAGATGCAAGTGGCAAGCGTTTCTGCAGGAGGACGTCGCAAAGTACTACACAAAAAGCACACCCCACACACTGAAAGAGAGTCCCCAGACTGCGGTAGGTGCGGCACACAGCACTATGATAAAAGAAAATGCCCAGCTGCTAAAAGTTTTTGCAAAAAGTGCAACAAAAAGGGGCATTGGGCTCGTGTATGCCGTACGAAAGTTGTCAATGAACTAAAGGAAACCACCCAGTACCAGTTCTTAGGTGAAGTTACTGGCCCAGCAAACCCAGATAAATGGACTGTCACATTAGATATTGCCCAAGTTCCCCTGGCATTCAAAATAGACACAGGGGCAGATGCAAGTATCATCGGAGACAAAACATTCAGTCTACTCACAAAGAAATACAGACTGACCCCTACTAGTACACCCTTCTCGGGGCCTGGAGGTCCACTCAAGTGTTTTGGGATGTTTGAAGCTAACACAGAATACAAAGGAGAAAGCTACACATTTCCAGTATATGTGATAAAAGGAAACAGCTGCCTGCTCAGCCGCATAGAAGCGGTGAAGATGGGTCTAGTTAAGAGAGTAGAGGAGGTCAGCGCTGTGTTCGGAACCAGCGGCTTGTTGAAGACTGAACCTGCGAAAATACTGCTTAAAGACAATGCACAGCCATATGCGGTCCATGTGGCTAGACGAGTCCCGCTACCACTAATGCCACTTGTTAAAAAGGAGCTACAAAGGCTAGAGACAGAAGGCATCGTTGAGAAAGTAACCGAGCCCACTGAATGGTGCGCTGCAATGGTGCCAGTACTAAAACCCAATAAAGTTGAGGTAAGATGCTGTGCTGACTTAAGAAAACTGAACAAAGCAGTAGCACGAGAGAAATATGTGTTACCTACAGTGGAGGAGATAATGCCAAGACTCTCAGGATCCAAAGTGTTCACGTCCCTGGATGCTGCTAGTGGGTTCTACCAAATCCCACTACATAAAGACAGTCGTAAACTCACCACCTTCATTACTCCCTTTGGGAGATATGCGTTTTGCAGACTGCCATTTGGGATATCGAGCGCCCCGGAGATATTTCAGCGCAAGATGGCAGAGACACTGCAGGGGCTGGAAGGTACAGAGGTGTATATGGACGACATCTTGGTCCATGGAGACACTGAAGAGGAACACGACAAGCGTTTGGAGCAGGTCCTGAAAGTGATTGAGGCAGCTGGTCTGAAACTGAACGAAGGCAAGTGTAAATTCAAACAGAGACAAATCAGGTTTCTGGGGCACATCATTGATGAGAATGGGGTGAAACCAGACCCAGCAAAAGTAGAGGGGATAGAAAATTTCCCGAAACCCCAGAATGTCGCTGAACTGAGACGCTTTATTGGTATGGTAAATTACCTAGCCAAGTTTGTTCCGGAGATGTCTACAGTTGGACAACCACTTTATGAACTGCTCAAAACCAAATCTGAGTGGCAGTGGGGTCCAGCGCAGGAGTCCTCCTTCCGAAGATTGAAATCTGCCCTGGCATCTGCACCTGTACTTACCTTCTATGATGCCAACAAGCCCACAAAGGTGTCGGCTGACGCCAGCAGCTATGGGCTTGGGGGAGTTCTCCTACAGCAACATGGAGAAGATTGGAAGCCGGTCGCATATTGCTCCAGGAGACTTCGTGATCCGGAAACCAGGTACGCGCAAATAGAGAAGGAATGCCTGGCGAGCGTCTGGGCCTGTGAGCGCTTTGAGAAATACCTGATTGGACTAGAGACTTTCACATTGATCACTGACCACAAGCCCTTAGTGCCTTTAATGAACAACAAGGACTTGGACAATGTCCCACTAAGGTGTCAGAGACTACTGATGAGACTGATGCGTTTTAATGCAGAAGCAGTGTACGCACCTGGCAAGACCTTGGCAGTGGCAGACGCGCTGTCCAGGGGTCCACTGGAACAGACCGGAGACGAGCACCTTGAAGAGGACGTGACCGTGCACATCGGAGCAGTCCTCAGCCACTTACCAGCCACCCCCCGGAAACTACAGCAGATAAGAGACCACACTATCCAAGACCCCGAGTTACAGTTAGTGAAACAGCTCACTCAGACGGGTTGGTCAGAGTATGAAAGACGGGTCCCGGAGGGTGTTAGAGGGTTTTACAAAGTGCGGGGTGAACTGTCAGTTGTAGACGGGTTGGTTGTAAGGGGAAGCCGTATAGTCATTCCCACCACCTTGAGATCTGAGATGATAGAGAGAATTCATGATGGTCACCAAGGCTTAGGGAAGTGCAGAGAGCGAGCCAAACAGTCAGTGTGGTGGCCAGGGATGTCAAAAGACATAAATGCCAAAGTTGCGCAGTGTGATTTTTGTAATACTAACAGACACACTCAGATTAAAGAGCCACTCATGTCTACAGTGCTGCCAGATAGACCATGGCAAAAAGTGGGGGTAGACTTATGCGAGTACAACAAGCAAACCTACTTGGTAGCTTCTGATTATTACTCTCGTTACCTTGAGATTCTGAACTTACCAACAGCCACAACCACACAGGTTATAGGCAAGCTAGCGGCCACTTTTGCTAGATTTGGGGTTCCAGAGGAGCTTATTAGTGATAATGGGCCTCAGTTTTCTTCAGAAGAGTTCAGAAGGTTTAGCAGAGAGTTTGATTTCGTCCACACCACCTCCAGTCCGCATTACGCTCAAAGTAACGGACATGCAGAAAGGGCCGTGCAGATAGCAAAAGGGATCCTTAAGCAGGAAAACCCCCTCCTGGCTCTTCTGGTTTATAGGAGCACTCCTACCACTTCTACAGGCTTCAGCCCAGCAGAGCTGCTGATGGGCCGCAAGATCAGAACCACGCTGCCCACCCTGTCTGCTAACCTGGATCCGAGCTGGCCAGATAGGAAGGAGATGCGCTCTGCGGATGCTGCGGCTAAGCTGAAACAAGCATTCTACTACAACCGCAGGAATGGTGTTCGACACTTACCACCACTGGACCCTGGAGAAGGGGTCCTGATGAAGTTGGACAATGAGAAACAATGGACTACACAAGGAACGGTACAAGGTAACTGTTCTACCCCTAGGTCATACGTTGTGGTAACGCCGGAGGGAGGTTGTTACAGACGTAACCGCCGTCACCTATTGCGACTGCCCGCTGCTTCCAAGAATCCAAACCCCAGCGGGTCACCGGATGATCCTCTGCCCGTGAGCAGCGATGTCGGCAGTAAGAGTGTCGAGTCATTACCACCAAAGACAGGGACGGTTACAATCACTCGTTCAGGCCGAGTGAGTAAGTCGTCGCCTAAGTTAGACTTATAGGTATTTTGGAAGAAATGTTCATGTTATGTTCAGATAAATGAAAAGAAAAGAGAAAGGAAATAGATGTTTGTTGTAAAAAAAAAAAAAAAAAAAAGTAAGAAAAGCAAACTAAACAATGCTCTTTGAGTCATGAATATTAACATGTTAAAGCATTATGGTGTATAATTTTCATAACTGTTGTTTGCACTGGAGTTATGCGTTTACAGAGACTGGGTGGAAAGACTGTTAGTAATATGGCCATTACTTTCTCAAAAGAGGGGGAGATGTAATGAATGGTGTTGTTATTTCCCACACTATGTGGTCTGTGAAGGCACCATATACTAACGCGAGATGTACTGCGGGATCTTGTGGACTGTTCTCATATACGAGCTTGTACAATAAACCACCAGCTCTTGTTCGGTACTTGTGGTGGCGTTTCATTTATGTCAAGACGACATTACACAGAGTGTCTTTGATCTCAGCCTAGAGTTAGCCTGTTAGCTTTGTGTTTGTTAGCGTCGGAAAGGAGGGGAGCTTAGAGTTAGCCTGTTAGCTTTGTGTTTGTTAGCGTCGGAAAGGAGGGGAGCTTAGAGTTAGCCAGTTAGCTTTGTTTTTGTTAGCGTCGGAAAGGAGGGGAGCTTAGAGTTAGCCTGTTAGCTTTGTTTTTGTTAGCGGGCGAAAGGGGGGGAGCTTAGAGTTAGCCTGTTAGCTTTGTTTTTGTTAGCGTCGGAAAGGAGGGGAGCTTAGAGTTAGCCTGTTAGCTTTGTGTTTGTTAGCGTCGGAAAGGAGGGGAGCTTAGAGTTAGCCTGTTAGCTTTGTTTTTGTTAGCGTCGGAAAGGAGGGGAGCTTAGAGTTAGCCTGTTAGCTTTGTTTTTGTTAGCGTCGGAAATTAGGGGAGCTTAGAGTTAGCCTGTTAGCTTTGTTTTTGTTAGCGTCGGAAAGGAGGGGAGCTTAGAGTTAGCCTGTTAGCTTTGTTTTTGTTAGCGTCGGAAATTAGGGGAGCTTAGAGTTAGCCTGTTAGCTTTGTTTTTGTTAGCACAGGAAAGGAGGGGAGCTTAGAGTTAGCCTGTTAGCTTTGTTTTTGTTAGCGGGCGAAAGGAGGGGAGCGGGTTGTGCTGCTCGATTCTCTGTCTTGTTTGGTGTCTCCTGTCGCAGCCTCACAGCGCCACCATCAGGCCTGGCACATACATTACACTGCTCTGTGGTGAATCGGATTTGTTTTTCAGCATTGTGTGGCCGGATACATTTACAAAGCTGGTTCCATCTGTATGTACTACTGCTTTTTCTTTTTATTGGAAAACTGGACGTCAACACATATTTCCCAATACCTCAAAACAAGAATAACTACGAGGTACTTTTCCATACCTGTATACAGCCGTTTGTGACCCCAGAAATGTGTGCTCTATGCGTTTTATTAAGTCTCATTAAGTCAAAGACGGTTGTTTCGACGTGGACATTTCCAGATCCATAAGCACAAAAGGGCAGTTGCCGTTTCACCGGGTCGCAGATAAAATCAAACCTCCCTCCTTCACCTGAGGCCGACCTCCATAAACGGCCTGAGTATTGACGTTTTCAGATGGCGATGATCCGACGAAACGCCACGTCGAATTTAAACGGGTTATTGTAGGGATAAGGTCAAGACGTATTTACTCAATATTTAAAATTAGGAGACCACAGCTTTTTTTTGTTTTATGCATAATGTATGTTGTTGTTTGTGAATCCACCGGACTCTTTGACTTTTACTGAGTCCGGTTTGACTTTTGCCTGTGGTCTTTACATTGCCGTTGGACTGGTCTAGACCCGTGGACCAGTCCTCAGTCTGTCTACACCACTGGACTCCTTTAACTTTACAACACTCAGGGCCATCAAAGTGTTTTACAATAAAATGACATAAAATCCATTAAAACATTCATTGTTCCGTCATTTGGGTAAACTCTGAGCCCTTTTGAAATCAATCGATAAATAACTGAATAACCAAAGGGCCTGATGCCTGCTGTAGAGACGCCTGTGTGTTAGAATGCTAATGTAAGAATGCTAATGTAAGAATGCTAATGTTAGAAGGCTAATGTTACAATGCTAATGTCAGAATCTGCTGCAGCGCTAAAAGGTCAAAAGCGTGTCCTGCTGCTGCAGCGACGCAGATCCTCAGGTTTCATTCACAGACTGTAAATATGAACAGACGTGGTCACTTCTATCTCCGCTGTTGAACCTAAAGTGCCTCCGGAAGTCCACAGCGGCTAAACTAGACTGGTCCAGAACAATATTCTCCCTCTAGCATCGACAGCCTCTGGAACATAGCTTTGGACCAAGAGCCATTTTTGGGCCATCATGTAAAGATGTTTTCAAGAGGTAAGAAGACGCCAAACAAAAGCATTTGTAATTCTCTTTCCGGGTACACCCCCACCGTCCCGGAGTGGTATTGTAGCATGTCAGCGCACGTGCTCAGGGACCTTTTGGAGCCGTGTCCCGCCCACACTGGTTTTATTACTGTCACCACGGTTACAACCAGCACTGAGGGGAGGGGCAAGAGGATCTCACAGACCTGTGATACACACACACACAAACATATGTACAGACGCACATACACATACACACACATACACATATACACACATACACGTACACAGAGACATACTGTATAATAATAATGCATCGGTTTTATATAACGCTTTTCTGGACACTCAAAGACGCTTCACATGTGTCATTATTCATTCACTCCAAACACGGTGGTGATAAACTACTACTGTAGCCACAGCTGCCCTGGGGCACACTGACAGAAGCGAGGCAACCAGTCTGTGCCATCGGCCCCTCCCACCACCACCAACCATTCACTCACACACCAGACTCATTCTAATGTGGGGGAAGTGTCTTGCCTAAGGACACAACGACAGTTTGGCACTTTACAGCCGCAGCCGCCCCACTGTGGCTGCTGTTCCCAGAGGTTAAGTGTCTTGCCCAAGGACACAACATCAGCCGACAGTGGGAGTCGATGGTGAAGGTCAGGCTCGAACCCACGACCCTCTGGCTCAAAGGCCAACGCTCTACCACCTGTGTTACTGTCGCCCGTCTACACATATACACGTACACACACACATGTGCAAGCATGTACATACACACATTCATATATATGCACGCACACACACACACACAATCACGCGTTTACACACAGGTTTTACACACAAACACACAGTGATGGGCAAGCTACTTGATTTATGCAGTTAGCTAAGCTACTCTACAATAAATTCAGCTTCACTACACAGAAGCTACCACCCATACAAATGTAGCAAGCTAAGTTACAAAATTCTGTCAAAAGTAGCTTGCTATATAGAAGCTATTTTCAATTAAACAAACTGCAGTTCATGCAATTTTATATTTTCCTGCATTAACATGTTTGCTCATTTCTTATTTTTTGCACAATTCTTGAGTGTTTTATCCATGCCAAATGTGACATGTAAATTTCTCCTGTGTGAGATTAATAAAGCTTATCGTATTTGAGATAAACTGTCAGTCAGATAAAGGTTAAAATTTTGTAGATATTTATTGAACAATAGCCCAAAACACCAAAAACAACAAAGTAGGCATCTGAAAACATATTTCTTTTCGCTCATCTCGACTAGAGTGACGTACTTTTGGAGGTATGGCCACGGTACAACACTTTGAGAGTCCTTATCATGGTCCTCCTCCACCGCGGCGGCTCCTGGGCTCTCTGCCATGCTTTTGCTTCCCCCAGTAGCGCGCGCGCATGTGTGTGTGTGTGTGTGTGTGTGCGCGTACGCTCGTGTGTGTGTGTGTGTGTGTGTGTGTGTGTGTGTGTGTGCGTGTGTGTGTGTGCGTGTGTGTGTGTGCGCGTACGTTCGTGTGTGTGTGTCGTTACCAAGCCCTGCGCATGCGCATCAGCATTCTGTCTTTCTATATGTTTGTTTTATGCTGCGGGAAAATGCTGTAATATATGTTGTATATGTATGTATATATCAGAGATGTCCGTGAGAAAATAGCTTTGGCGGACGCTACCGCGCTACTTGAGCAATAATATAGCTTAACTACAGAAAAGTTACTAGGTTTTGTAAATAGTGACGCTACTGTCAAGCTACTGAAAAATGTAGTTAAGCTAGTAGCGACGCTACTTGTGCTACTTGTAGCGACGCTACTGCCCATCACTGCAAACACACACACACACATACATACACATACACATATAAAGAGACACACATACACATACACACACACACGCGCACACACACACACACACACACACACACAGACAGACACACACATATACATACACACACATGTACACACACATTCATATATATACACTCGCACACACACACGTACAGACACATACACATAGACAATCTCATGCAGAGACACACACAGAGGCACACACACTTACACACACACACGTACACCAATGCACAGACACACACACACAGCCACACATTTACACACAAGCGGCCGCTATTTTCACTGAGCAAATGACACCTTCCTCTTCGGATGTTGGTCAAATATTGGGACAACTGTGACATTTCCTGTAAAAGAACATTAAAGCTGAGGTGTGTAACTTTCAAACTATCTCTGTGTCAAATCCATGTCTCTAGTTCCTGACTCTAACACTTATTATTATATTATTATCACTGGTGTACACATCTACTGCACCTTAGACACAAACCAGTACTGAGCCAGAGGAGTTCACTTTTTATATGTAAGTCAACAGGCGCCAGAGCGAGATGGAGCAAAACTTCATCCATGAGCACTTCCCTATTGTGAAAATCAGATTAGCAGAATGTTTAGCCTGAAACCCAAATTTACATGCTATTATTAGAATTAAAAGCCAGATTGGGCTAGCAGGGTTAGCATTGTCTATGTGTATACAGCCTATGGTACTGTCTCTATTCAAATAATAATAATAATAATAATAATAATAATCCATCCATCCATTTTCTACCCTTTAATCCATTTCTAGGTCAGGGGGGTGGCAGTCAGAGATGCCACCCAAGTCTCATAGCACCAGCCCCTCACTGACCCTCTGCAGGTGGTGAGTCCACAGGAGGACGGCTGCTCTCTGAGTGTGAGCATAGCCTTGATCTTTCAGTGGGGGCTTTGGGCAAAGTGGGGTTAAGTGTCTTGCCCAAGGACACAACGACAGCAGTCATCAGTGGGAGTCGGTGGAGAAGGTGCAGAGGTGGGAATTGAACCCACGACCTTCTGGCCTTAAGGCCAATGCTCTACCAACTGAGCTACTGTCGCCCCTTAATAATAATAATAATAATAATAATAATAATAATAATAATAATAATAATAATAATAATAATAATAATAATAATAATAATAATAATAATAATAATAATAATAATAATAAGGCATTTGTTTTATACAGTGCTCGTCCGGACACTCAAAGTCACTCCACATGTCATTGTTCTTTCACTCTATACACAGCGTTTCTCTCTCTCTGGCCTCTCTCTTTCTGGTCCCTCTCTCTCTCTCTCTCCTCTCTCTCTCTCTCTCTCTCTGGTCTCTCTCTGGTCCCTCTCTCTCTCTCACCTCTCTCTGGTCCCTCTCTCTCTCTCTCTCACCTCTCTCTGGTCCCTCTCTCTGGTCTCTCTCTGCTCTCTCTCTCTCTCTGGTCTCTCTCTGCTCTCTCTCTCTCTCTGGTCTCTCTGCTCTCTCTCTCTCTGGTCTCTCTCTGCTCTCTCTCTCTCTGGTCTCTCTCTGCTCTCTCTCTCTCTCTGGTCTCTCTGCTCTCTCTCTCTCTGGTCTCTCTCTCTGCTCTCTCTCTCTGCTCTCTCTCTCTCTCTCTCTCTCTCTCTCTCTGCTCTCTCTCTGCTCCTCTCTCTCTCTGCTCTCTCTCTCTCTCTCTCTCTCTCTCTCTCTCTCTCTCTCTCTCTCTCTCTCTCTCTCTCTCTCTCTCTCTCTCTCTCTCTCTGGTCTCTCTCTCTCTCTCTCTTCTCTGTCTCTCTCTCTGCTCTCTCTCTCTCTCTGCGCTCTCTCTGCTCTCTCTCTCTGCTCTCTCTCTCTGCTCTCTCTCTCTCTGCTCTCTCTCTCTGCTCTCTCTCTCTCTCTGCTCTCTCTCTGCTCTCTCTCTCTCTCTCTCTCTCTCTCTCTCTCTCTCTCTCTCTCTCTCTCTCTCTCTCTCTCTCTGCTCTTTCTCTCTCTGCTCTCTCTCTCTCTGCTCTCTCTCTGCTCTCTCTCTGCTCTCTCTGGTCTCTCTCTCTGCTCTCTCTCTCTCTGCTCTCTCTCTCTCTCTGGTCCCTCTCTCTGCTCTCTCTCTCTCTCGGTCCCTCTCTCTGCTCTCTCTCTCTCTGCTCTCTCTCTGCTCTCTCTCTCTGCTCTCTCTCTGGTCTCTCTCTCTGCTCTCTCTCTCTCTGCTCTCTCTCTCTCTGCTCTCTCTCTCTTTCTCTGCTCTCTCTCTCTGGTCCCTCTCTCTGCTCTCTCTCTCTGGTCACAGTCCGTCTAAAAGCAGACGAGGCACCAGCTCGAGGCCTAAACGTGTTTGTGTTCATTATTCTGGACCAGTGAATGGATAATTCTGAGCAATTATGTAGTTGGAGATAATGAAGGGCCGTTGTCAAAAAGATCGCGGCGATTACGGATCCACAAACAACTCCAAACAACACCGGCCACGGCTTCAAACAAGACATCACGCCAACAAACACACTTTTCACAGCTTCCGCCGCGTTCTGGCTCTTTCCACTTTTAAAAACTAATATTTGACTTTGGCTTTTAACAAGTGATTTTTTATAATTTTACTTTTACATGTGTGTGTGTGTGTTTTCTGCTGTTTCTTTTATTTTTTCTGATGTTGTTGTAAATGTGCCATACAAAAAAAGTTGACATTGGCATCGACTGGTGTTAAAAACCCTGCAGACACTTCTCAGAACACATGTCAAGTCAGCGATGGTCTCTCTCTCTCTCTGGGCTCTCACTCTGGTCTCTCTCTGGTCTCTCTCTAGTCTCTCAATCAGGCCTCTCTCTAGCGTCTTTCTCTGGTGTCCCTCTGGTCTTTCTCTCTCTGGTCTCTCTCTTTATGGTCTCTCTGGTTTCTCTCTCTCTGGTCTCTCTCTCTCTCTCTCTGGTCTCTCACTCTGGTCTCTCTCTCACTGGGCTCTCACTCTGGCCTCTCTAGTCTCTCTCTCTGGTCTCTCTCTAGTCTCTCTCTCTGGTCTCTCTCTGGTCTCTCTCTAGTCTCTCTCTAGTCTCTCTCTGGGCTCTCTCTCTGGTCTCTCTCTCTCTAGTCTCTCTCTCTGGTCTCTCTCTGGTCTCTCTCTCTGGTTCTGACCATCTATGAAGAGAGCAGTAGATAAAACTCAGAAATGTCCTCTTACTCAGTCCTTAAAACCCACTCGATGAATTTGAAATAGAAAAACAGTCTTGGACAATGAAAAACCTCTTGAGTCTAAGAGTTTGAGATAAAAACACACAACATACCGAACCAAGGTCTGTCACAACAAGACCACTTTAAACTGAGTGGTTATTTTTAGCTTGGATTTGTTTTGCAAGTGTATTGTGTTCATGTGACCAGTGATGAGTTACTAACGCCGTTACTTTTTTCAGTAACGAGTAATCTAACTAATTACTTTGACTGTAACTATAACGCCGTTATCATTTCCGACATCCCGTTACTGCGCGTTACTCAAGAAGCACAATGAACTTCTCTTTTTACTTCGTGATAGGACTCGTGCGCGTGTTGTCATGAGAGAAGGGAGGATGAGAAAACCTCTCAGCAATTATTGGCTGATGTAAAACATATTTCCTTTACAATCTACATGTCTACAGTTGAGAGGATGGCTCATAAATTGTGTTTTTGAAACAAATATGGGTCTCAATCGCGCTCAACCACGGCTTGTATCACCGTGAGGCCAGCCGCAGAGGAGCGCATGAGAGCGCAGAAGTCGGCTGCATACAATTCCATCGAAAGGCTCCTTTCTCTTCCTGGTTTATCTGCTACGGGCAGCAAAAGGTTTGGCTAACATACATATAACACATTTTAAGATAATTTAAAATGCACTTAGGGTAATTTTTTAATGACTATAGGAATAATAAGAAAGAAAGGTGAAATGTAAGACGGTTGATTTTAGAAATTGGATGCACCCGGCTGCAGCAAAACAGGAGTTTATGGAGGACACGCGCGTTTTGTTTTACTTTTTAAAACTCATTGGACTCATTTCCAAATGGAGGATTACGTATCTACGCTCAAACCATTAACTGGACTTAAACAAGGAACTGGTCTGAACCGAAGTGGACTGTGCAGGTCATTTATAAGGTAAGACCCATAACTCATAGTTTTGCGTTTTGTATGAACAAACAATGCGGGCATGAAACATATTCTGCTGTAGCCAAACAAATTGTCCACTTGATTTATATGATGTATATGTTCATCTGATTGGGCTGAAGTCAGTGCTTCACCGGTGTTTCCACATTCACAGTGGCGGGTGTTGGTGTTTAGTGCTTACAGCACAGAGAGAGATGAAGAGTGAACAGGACTTCAGCAGCAAAACAGCCTTTTCTAGATGGAAATATTGGCACTATTTCAGACTCACTGAGGTTAAAGGTTAAAGGTAAAACTGCGCACGTCGAGTGCACATTATGTTCCAGAACTAAACGAAAAAGTAACGCAATAGTTACTTTTACTGGTAACTAGTTACTTTTATAGTGGAGTAACTCCGTTAGTAACTCAGTTACTTTTTGGGAGAAGTAACTAGTAACTATAACTAATTACTTTTTCAAAGTAACGTGCCCAACACTGCATGTGACATCACAACATCCACGGCAATTCAGAGAAAAATCTTCTTTGGCTTCACTTTAGAAACTGTAATTTAGAACTCTCTCCTGGAATAATCCACAAGAGACAAAAAATATCTCACAGTACCTCTCTCTGGTCCCTTTCTAGTCTCTCTCTGGTCCCTCTCTGGTGTCTCTCTAGCCTCTCACTCTGATCTCTCTCTTTGGACTCTTCCTGTCGGTTTTCCCTCTGGTCTCTCTCTCTCTCTCTCTCTCTCTCCATCTCTCTCTCTAGTCTCTCTCTCTCTCTCTCTCTCTGGTCTCTCTCTCTCTGGTCTCTCTCTCTCTCTCTGGTCTCTGTCTCTCTCTCTGGTCTCTCTCTCTCTGGTCTCTCTCTCTGGTCTCTGTCTCTCTCTCTGGTCTCTCTCTGGTCTCTCTCTCTCTCTCTCTCTGAGTGAGTAGAATAGACCAGATTACTGCCTGTAGCAGCAGTAACATGTATCACGTCTTATTTAAAGACATTTGCGTCTCTACTGCTCATATCTTCCAAAGGAAATGATTTTTTGGAAGCAGCCAAAGTGCCCATAACCGCACTGAACATCCGCGACGCCACTCTCTATTTAATTGTACGAGTAAATTCCCCTTCGAGACCCGTCCGCACTCCACTCCAGCTCCTTTCCCTGACCCATTTCCTCACAAAAAAAATGCAAAATCTGTGTCGCCTCACTTAAACCTCTGCTCTGAACTGAACCGCGGAACGACGCACTAAAACTGGGGAGGTTTTTGTTGAACGGCTTCCAAAGAGCTGCCTCTCGGAGCGGAAACGAGCGCTCCGGGTCGAGTCAGCGGAGAGTGGAGGGATGGGGGCGGGGCTGTTATCGCGGCCGCCACCTGACCACGGCGAGACTGAGGTGTCCGTCACAACAACAACGTCTTGGTCCAAAGGTCTGTCACCACAAAACGTCTGTTTCAGTTTGGATAGTATTAGGCAGAAAACTATGGTCAGAAGGAGGCTCTTTCTGGTCTCTCTCTGCGGTCCCTCTCTCTGAAGTCTCTCCCTGGTCCCTCTCTCTAGTCTCTCCCTGGTCTCTCTCTCTCTAGTCTCTCCCTGGTCTCTCTCTCTCTAGTCTCTCCCTGGTCCCTCTCTCTGAAGTCTCTCCCTGGTCCCTCTCTCTAGTCTCTCCCTGGTCTCTCTCTCTCTAGTCTCTCCCTGGTCTCTCTCTCTCTAGTCTCTCCCTGGTCCCTCTCTCTGAAGTCTCTCCCTGGTCCCTCTCTCTAGTCTCTCCCTGGTCTCTCTCTCTCTAGTCTCTCCCTGGTCTCTCTCTCTCTAGTCTCTCCCTGGTCTCTCTCTCTTTAGTCTCTCCCTGGTCTCTCTCTCTCTGAAGTCTCTCCCTGGCCTCTCTCAATGGTCCCTCTCTCTAGTCTCTCCCTGGTCTCTCTCTCTAGTCTCTCCCTGGTCCCTCTTTCTAGTCTCTCCCTGGTCTCTCTCTCTCTAGTCTCTCCCTGTTCCCTCTCCCTGGCCTCTCTCAATGGTCCCTCTCTCTCGTCTCTCTCTGATCCCTCTGTCTCTCTTATCGCTCCTCCACACCTGGATGGGGCGAGACCGAGGTGTTCGTCACAGCTGGTCTCTGGCGTTCTCCGACTGAAGCCTTCGGTGTGGTTTTTTCCATTTCTCTTCAGCTTCTTAAAGGTCAGCGCCGTCGTCCTGTCGCCGCTTTTCTCTCTCAATTCATCTTCGTGTCACTCCGCCCTCTGCAATTTGCGTCTCTTAGTCCCACCGCCCGGTTAATTCAGCCGCACCGTGTCTTCATTCTCCCGTCAGCGTAATAACCATCGTGTGGCGTGTGAGTTTTCCGTTTCTAGGTGCGTCGGGGTGACCTTAGCCTTCACCTCATACACACAGGACAGCTCTGTATGCGCCAAGACATTACAGACTAGGACATACTTTTACTTTGTCACAGTTTAACTCAATGGCCCTGTCCCAATACTCACACTTCCAACCTGGCGCCCCTCATTTGCGCGTTCCCGATGATGGGTGCGAGTGCGTAGGGTACAGTCCCAATCCTCTAGGGAGGTCTTTGGCCCCGCCCCCTTTGCGCCTCTGATCCACACTTCGCCGTAGTCTGCATCTAGCCGGACTCTGGCGAAGGATATTGCCCATAATACTTTGCAGTACACACCAAAACGTCAGGAAAATGCATTTTAGTGTAAATTTAGATCAGAGACAAGAGAAAAACCAGAAAGAGATCAGAGAGGGACCAGAGAGAGACCAGAGTGAGACCAGAGAGAGATCAGAGAGAGACCAGAGAGAGACCAGAGAGGGACCAGAGAGAGACCAGAGTGAGACCAGAAAAAGACCAGAGAGAGATCAGAGAGAGACCAGAGAGAGACCAGAGACAAGAGAGAGATCAGAGAGAGACCAGAGAGGGACCAGAGAGCGGAGAGAGACCAGCGAGAGACAAGGGAGAGACCAGAGAGACCAGAGAGGGACCAGAGCGGGACCAGAGAGGGACTAGAGAGAGACCAGAGAAAGACCGGAGTGAGACCAGAGACAAGAGAAAACCAGAAAGAGATCAGAGAGGAATCAGAGACCATAGTGAGACCAGAGAAAGACCAGAGAGAGATCAGAGAGAGACCAGAGAGGGACCAGAGAGGAACCAGAGAGGGACCAGAGAGGGACCAGAGAGAAAGAAACGGGGAGACACCACCGTGACATGTTGCTAAGGTGGTTGCTAAGGTTGATCCATATTTCTCATGTCTCACAAAGTCAGTATTATTTGCATATATCCATCGTTTCTACACAGCCCTTTGTTGGTTTGGGGTTTGGTGCTTGTGGTAAAACCCGAGGAAAGACCGGAGCCAAAGTAATTTCACATGTTTTCATATTCAAAAGTTAATATTCTCTACAAAGTGTCAAAGTCGGCTCAAAAGAAGAACTAATGAATGAGTCTGAAAAGGCAGCTCTGGCGTTTGAAGTCCACCACCGGCAATCTCCGGGAAAACTTAATTAATTTGGTGCAGCTTCTTTCTCTTCACAAACACAGATACGTTTGAACAATAAAAATAAAATAAAATTTGCAGGTTTATTCGGTTTGACTGTGTGCCAGGAGCTCTCACAGCAGGTAAGTGAGAGGGACCTTTAATTACTGTGTGTATGTGTATTTTTGGGGGTTTTTGACTATCTTTCTGCAGCAGCACGGACCGGAAACAAAAGCTTCTGCAAATCGGAAAGACTTCAAAAGGAGACGAGAAGTTTTGTGGCTGGAAAAGTAGAGTCCCAAAGAGAGGGAAAAGTTTAGAGCGCGACGACTTCCACAATAGTTCACTTTAGCGGAGAAAGAGAGAGTCACGCCCAGAGCAAGAGAGCGGAGTGGGTCAAGTTTCATCTCTCGACTGACTCCTGTTGTCCAGGTATTGTCGGTGGAGACAGGGATTGAGAGAGCAGAGAGAGAGAACAGAAAGAGAGCAGAGAGAGAGAGCAGAGAGAGGCCAGAGAGAGAGACCAGAGCAAAAGACCAGAGAGAAAGAGCCGAGAGAGAGACCAGAGAGAGAGAGGGACCAGAAAGAGAGAGAGAGAGGCTAGAGAGAGAGACTGGAGAGAGACAGGGAAGAGAGGCCAGCGAGAGAGACCTCAGAGTCCCAGCTGGAGGCCAGTTCCTGTGCTCCCTCAGAGTCCCAGTAGGAGGCCAGTCCCTGTGCTCCTCAGAGTCCCAGTAGGAGGCCAGTCCCTGTGCTCCTCAGAGTCCCAGTAGGAGGCCAGTCCCTGTGCTCCTCAGAGTCCCAGTAGGAGGCCAGTCCCTGTGCTCCTCAGACTCCCAGTAGGAGGCCAGTCCCTGTGCTCCTCAGACTCCCAGTAGGAGGCCAGTCCCTGTGCTCCTCAGAGTCCCAGTAGGAGGCCAGTCCCTGTGCTCCTCAGAGTCCCAGTAGGAGGCCAGTCCCTGTGCTCCTCAGAGTCCCAGCAGGAGGCCAGGCCCTGTGCTCCTCAGAGTCCCAGATAAAAGGACTGCACTTCCTTCCACAACACTTCCTTTCACCTGTGAAACTCGCTCAGGGCGATCGTGGTGTGATTGATTGAGTTCCACCTCTCGTCCCACTCGTGTCCTGGTCTCAGCCTAGTCCCGTCTGTGCAGACAGAGAGAGTAGGCCGAGAGAACACCCCCAGTGTGAACAACAACATACACATTACACTGTATTAGCCACCAAAAATAACAAACTTTTTGTGACCAGAGAGAGACCAGAGAGAGACCAGAGAGAGACCAGAGAGAGACCAGAGAGGGACCAGAGAGAGACCAGAGAGGGACCAGAGAGAGACCAGAGAGAGACCAGAGAGGGACCAGAGAGAGAGACCAGAGAGAGACCAGAGAGAGACCAGAGAGGGACCAGAGAGTGAGACCAGAGAGAGACCGGAGAGAGACCAGAGAGACTGGAGGGAAACCAAAGAGAAACCAGAGAGAGACTAGAGTGAGATAGCAGAGAGAGCGAGAAAGAAAAGATAAAGAGAGAGAATAGAGACACCTGAGAGAGAAGAAAGAGAGAGAGTAGAGAGAGACGAAAGAGAGAGACCAGATAGAGAGACCTACCAGAGAAGGACAAAACTCATAGATCAGAGACAAAGACCAGACAGTGAGACTATGGAAAGACCAGAGGGAGAGACCGGTGAGAGAGAGCAGAGGGAGAGACCATAGAGAGAGAGCAGAGGGAGAGACCATAGAGAGAGAGCGGCCAATCCCTGTGCTCCTCAGAGTCCGAGTCAGTACACACAGCCCTAACATGTCACAGAAGTAGTTTTTATCGCTTAAAAAAAACCCAAACGTGTTTTCAAATCTACATTTTGAAAACTTTTTTGGGTAAAACACAGAAGTTGTAATATTTAACAAACCACAGAAATCCCACTCAAGGCTTCGGGGAGTTTCGGGAAAGCAGCGAGTTCAGTGCACGGTTACATAAGACGAGAGAGACCTCCTAATGGGACGCAGGTAGCAGAGGCACCAGTCTTCAAAGTGCATCAGTCTGAGAGGAAACCTGTGGGAGGTTTCTCACCGCAACTGGAGACGCAGATGTGGGCGGAGGACAAGAGACATGAAAAGACGAGCGAGTACGGTAGATCAAAGGGAGAGAGACGAGGGAGAGACTAGAGAGAGAGCGGTGAGGGAGACAGGAGAGATACAGTAGAGAGAGATACAAGAGGGAGAGACTAGAGGGAGAGACCAGAGAAAGAGAACAGAGAGCGGGAGTGAGAGAAGAGAGAGAGTGACCAGGGAGAGACTAGAGAGAGACCAGAGGGAGAGACCCAAGAGGGACTAAAGAGAGACCAGAGGGAGAGACCCAAGAGGGACTAAAGAGAGACCAGAGGGAGAGACCCAAGAGAGACTAAAGAGAGACCAACAAGATAAATCAAAGATAGAAACCAGAGAGAGACTAGAGAGAGACCAGAGAGAGACCAGAGAGAGACTAGAGAGAGACTAGAGAGAGACTAGAGAGAGACTAGAGAAAGACTAGAGGGAGACTAGAGAGAGAGACTAGAGAGACCATAGAGAGACCAGAGAGAGACTAGAGAGAGACTAGAGAGAGACTAGAGAGAGACCAGAGACACCATAGAGAGACCAGAGAGAGACTAGAGAGACCATAGAGAGACCATAGAGAGACCAGGGAGAGACCATGGAGAGACAAGAGAGAGCACACAGTCCTAGCAGGAGATCAGAAAAGGCGAAAAGGAGAGAAATGAAAAGTCAGGGCTGCTGTGACAGTACGACGGCTCAGAACTCTCGCTGACTCTGATTGAATGTTGGACTTCATCAAATTTGCTTTTTCAGATGAGAAGAAGAAGAAGCTGTCAGCGCGGCCGGCTAACAAGACGGCTAACAAGACGGCTAACAAGGCGGCTAACAAGGCGGCTAACAAGACGGCTAACAAGGCGGCTAACAAGGCGGCTAACAATGGGCGCCAATCTGACACCGAATAGATTGAGTCAAACCAAAACCTTCTGAGTTGCTTTGAAAGAGGAGAATGTGAATTAGCAAAGCACACTTTTCAGACTCGTTGGAAGAACAATGACGAGATTTACCCTTTTAATCTTGTTATAGCAGATTACATGTACGTACAGTAAATCAGATCAAAGCCTTTCTGGGTGGAGTTTGCATGTTCTCCCTGTGTCTATGGGTAGAATATTCAAAGTGGTGTGTGATGAGTGAGAACCTCCAGCGCTGGTTCTGACCGAGAGAATTGACATCAGGAGATGGTTCCCCAGGCTTGGTATTACGGGCAAGGCTCTCTCTTGTCTCACTCTCTGGTTCTTCTCTGGTCTCTCTCTCTGCTCTCTCCCCCTGGTCTCTCTCTCTGCTCTCTCTCTCTCTGGTCTCTCTCTGGTCTCTCCCTGTGGTCTTTCTCTGGCATCTCTCTCTGGTCTCTCCCCCTGGTCTCTCTCTCTGCTCTCTCTCTCTGGTCTCTCTCTGGTTTCTCCCTGTGGTCTCTCTCTGGTCTCTCCTTCTGGTCTCTCTCTCTCTGGTCTCTACCCCTGGTCTCTCTCTCTGCTCTCTCGCTCTCTGGTCTCTCTCTGGTTTCTCCCTGTGGTCTTTCTCTGGTATCTCTCTCTGGTCTCTCCCCCTGGTCTCTCTCTCTGCTCTCTCTCTCTGGTCTCTCTCTGGTTTCTCCCTGTGGTCTCTCTCTGGTCTCTCCTTCTGGTCTCTCTCTCTCTGGTCTCTCCCCCTGGTCTCTCTCTAGTCTCTCCCCCTGGTCTCTCTCTCTGCTCTCTCTCTCTCTGGTCTCTCTCTGGTTTCTCCCTGTGGTCTCTCTCTGGTCTCTCCTTCTGGTCTCTCTCTCTGGTCTCTCCCTCTGGTCTCTCCCTGTGGTCTTTCTCTGGTATCTCTCTCTGGTCTCTCCCCCTGGTCTCTCTCTCTGCTCTCTCTCTCTGGTCTCTCTCTGGTCTCTCCCTGTGGTCTCTCTCTGGTCTCTCCTTCTGGTCTCTCTCTCTGGTCTCTCCCTCTGGTCTCTCCCTGCTGTCTTTCTCTGGTCTCTCTCTCTGGTCTCTCCCCCTGGTCTCTCTCTCTCTGCTCTGTCTCTCTGGTCTCTCTCTGGTCTCTCCCTGTGGTCTTTCTCTGGTCTCTCCATCTAGTCTCTCCCTCTTGTCTTTCTCTCTGGTCTCTCTCTCTCTAGTTTCTCTCTCTGCCCTCTTTCTCTGTTCTCTCTCTCTCTCTCCATCCCTCTCTTATACCGGCGTCTCTGAACGTGGACCTGAGTGACGGACAGGTGGGCGGTGCTTCCAGCTCATGCATGTTCATTCGATCCGTGCAAAAAGCCTTTCAAAAAGACTCTGCCCACATGAGAATAACACAGCAATAAGTGGATGAAGGTTTTTCTCTCTCTCTCTCTCTCTCTCTCTCTCTCTCTGTGTATCCCACATGGGGGAAAATCACTTTTGTCGCTGGTGTCACCCACACCTTTACAGTAGGCGGCCATTTCTCTTGCCGCTCTTGTCTCCTGATGAGATGTATCTTTGTATGATTCATGAGATGGTTCTGTCATTTTGCCGTCGCTGTATCCTCCTGCTGTTTATTAAGGAGAAGCCAGAGCAGAGCAGAGCGGAGCGGAGGCAGTTGACTAGAAATGCTAATCCCGCTGGAGAAGTGCGAGATCGGTGCGAGATCGGAACGAGATCGGGGGCAGCGATGGTGACTTTGGGCCCGGAGGAGGAACGACATGTCGAATTTAGACTAAGTTATTATATAGCCAAGAGAGAGTGTGCCACAGAGAAAAAAACAGAGATTCCAGATTCAAAACATGAGGTCAGTCCCTGTGCTCCTCAGAGTCCCAGCAGGAGGCCAGTCCTTGTGCTCCTCAGAGTCCCAGCAGGAGACCAGTCCCTGTGCTCCTCAGAGTCCCAGCAGGAGGCCAGTCCCTGTGCTCCTCAGAGTCCCAGCAGGAGGCCAGTCCCTGTGCTCCTCAGAGTCCCAATTTTTGTAGATTCCAGATTCAAACACATTTCATAATTATTATTTTTACAGATGCAATAAAGCCACATTTTGGTCTCGTTTGAACTCATTTAAATTCATCCATCCATCCATTTTCTACCCTTTAATCCATTTCTGGGTCAGGGGGGTGACAGTCAGAGATGCCACCCAAGTCTCATAGCACCAGCCCCTCACTGACACTCTGCAGGTGGTGAGTCCACAGGAGGGCGGCTGCTCTCTGACTGTGAGCATAGCCTTGATCTTCAGCGGGGGCTTTGGGCAAAGTGGGGTTATGTGTCTTGCCCAAGGACACAACGACAGCAGTCATCAGTGGGAGTCGGTGGAGAAGGTGCAGAGGTGGGAATTGAACCCACAACCTTCTGGCCTTAAGGCCAATGCTCTACCAACTGAGCTACTGTCGCCCCTCATTTAAATTGTTTATGTGAAAAACCCTAAATCACAGCAGCGGTCGGTTCAGAGGACAGAACAACAGATCAGAGAATCAACACAGGAAACAGTGATAACAAACACATAGAGCCGTAGTTCCACAGTGAGCGGGACGACCAGAAATTATATTAAATGTTCTGCACCAGCAAGGACGGTCTATACAACAAGTGAGGAACCTGGAGGGGCTTTGGATCCCGGACTGAGGCTGTGGATCCCGGACTGAGGCTGTGGATCCCGGACTGAGGCTGCAGATCCCGGACTGAGGCTGTAGACCCAGGACTGAGGCTCTAGATCCAGGACTGAGGCTGTAGATCCAGGACTGAGGCTGTAGACCCAGGACTGAGGCTGTAGACCCAGGACTGAGGCTGTAGATCCAGGACTGAGGCTGTGGATCCCGGACTGAGACTGCGGATCCCGGACTGAGACTGCGGATCCCGGACTGAGGCTGTAGATCCAGGACTGAGGCTGTAGACCCAGGACTGAGGCTGTAGATCCAGGACTGAGGCTGTAGATCCAGGACTGAGGCTGTAGATCCAAAACTGAGGCTGTAGACCCAGGACTGAAGAGTCTCCCAGTCCAGGCCCGTCCATGTTTCTCACAGACTAACAACAGTCTATTTCCCCGTCTCCTTTAAATGACTCCAGTCTGAAACAACTTGAAACCGTTTCTTCCTGTTGTGTTTGTCTCGCCGTCTCCCCCCCCCCGTGCACCGCCGTCTTCAATACGTCTTTAAAAGTTGTTATTAAAATGTGTCCGTGTGTGTTTCCCGGTGACTGTGCACATAACATACTAAATCGGTCAATAAACACTTCCTTATCCTTTCAAATAATAAAAAGGTGAGATTTGCATAAGCGGCACCAGGGACTGCTCTTAATAAAAGCGGCTGGGAGCAGGTGTGGGGAGCAGCAGACTATAAAGCCGCCTTCGCAGCTCGCAGATGGAATCCTAACTGAGTTTATCAGTGTGACAGCGAGACAAAATGGATTTTTATTTAGATTTATGGCAGCGTTTTGACTGTAGCCGCGCCTCAAGGTTGGGGTTAAGCTCGGCAACAACAGCAGGGATCCCACAGACAGAGAGAGGCCACGGATTAGGAGCGTTTCCAGGTTAATCTGCTGTTAATCTGCATTTAGGAAAAATGTCTGCCTTTTTGGACAGTTTTGTGATTAGATTTGTGATTTAAAGTCAGTGCCGTTCTGTTCAGACATCAGTGGATCATTAATACGTGTCGGAAAATGGTCTCTTCGCCTCCAATTGACTTACACGGAAAAGTAAACTCAGCAACTGTTTGTCACGTTCACTATTTTGACATTTAAAATTCCCTGGTTTAGTTTTCTCTGTGATCCTGGTGTTTGTAGTGTGATAATAACTTTGGAAATCCAGAGATATGAGCCTTAATGACGGACCAATCAGGAGCCTTGTTCTCGAAAAAAAGCCAGAGAGGAGTGCAAACCTGAGCAGACCTCCTGATTGGCTCTTTGGTTGCTAGGTCGTTGCTATCCAGATTCTTGCCCATGTGTTTGATTTAGCTTTAATCCTCAAAGTTTGGCTCTTATTGAGATAAATGTAAAGGTAATCTCTGCTAGCTCTATAACCGTGTCACAGTCAAAATCCAGATTTGAGCCGTACAAGGATTGACCAATCAGAGGCCTTCGTTCACGGGGGATACTTAAACCTTGCCTTAGCAGTGATGCTAGCAACACGCCTTCTCTATAAAGGCTCCAAGCTAACACCGTCGGGACAAATGCGCTAATAAGTAAATTAGGTCCAGCTAGCTTATATTCACAGAGGTTTCTTCCACATTAAGGCTAACACTGTGATGTCACACTGCGTTAGTCACTCCTAATACGAGATCAAGATTAAGAGATCCTTTATTTGTCCCACAGTGGGGAAATTTCAGTGTTGCATCACAAGTTATGGAACAGTAGGACAGAGGAGCACACGGCACACGTTAAAGTGAACAATAATAATACTAATTAAAATAAAACAAAATCTCTAACTCTAGAATCAATAAAAGTATAAAATCTCTATCTTGAAAATAATAATAAAAGAAGTATAAACGTTTTACATTTGGCACAAACTCAGACATTTACAGATAAGAGAGCAGCAGTTTTTCTAGTTTCTCTGTGTCCCCTGCGGCTAATATAGCAATGCAGCTAATGTGTGTGTCTTTACTGTGGTCTATTTTAATAAAGATTTCTTATGTCCGTACAGTCTGTGGTTTGACTGTGATACAATAGAATCAACTAAAGGCACAAGTGTAAATGTACGCGGCGTGTGCGGCGTGTGCGGCGTGTGCGGCGGTGATTGACAACAGCAACACAACATGAAGGCGGCTCAAAGAGACGACCTCATCGTGTCGGAGCCAAACAAGACCAAGACGCCACTTGTGCCGAGCGGAAAACAGGGAAATGTCAAGAGGCAAAAGGAACGACCAGAGAAGGACGGGGAGACCAGAAAGAGACCGAGCAAAGTGTTTAGGGATCTGTCTAAACCTCACTTTACAGTCCTGGGTCTACAGCCTCAGTCCTGGGTCTACAGCCTCAGTCCTGGGTCTACAGCCTCAGTC